GGCCTAGAACTTTACAGAGGATGATTATTTGTTTACTGATGGTATTTCAAGCAGGTTGGATGAAGCAGAGGTTGTTGGTCATTGAGTCCTTATTCATTGAATCTACACGTAACACACTCAACCGAGCTGTAGCACTAAGTAGCACAAGAAAAGGCCAAAAGCAAACTAAAAATAATTGTGAAACTAGTAATGATAACATAAATAAGAGAGAATATAAGTCATCTACTGTTATACCATACAAGGAGGGGACATCTGAGGCCTTACGTAGGATTATTAATAAAGTAGGAATTAGGGTGGCATTCAAACCTACAAACTCACTCAGAGACAAGCTCTGTAGGCTAAAAGATCCGGTGGACCCAATTAAACAAAATAATATAATTTAGAAAATACCTTCCAATGACTGTGAGTTGGGTCAACTATATAGGTCAAACTAGTAGATCGGGGATAATCAGATTGTCGGAACATACAAATTTAGTGGCTAAGTTTCGAATGAATGACCCCTCGAAGAGAGACCAGTAATTTAGAAAAAAGCTCAGCAGCGACTGCACTGCATGCATTAACCTACAATTAACCACACAATAGAATGGGACAGTCCAAATTCTAAAAAGTAATATAGGTAGGTGGAGAGCGAGAGAGGTTGATTACTGAATCCTGCCTAGTTCATCGAGTGAATCTACACCCAACACATGCAACAGAAATGACTCAACGCAAATACCAGAGATATGCATAGAAGATATTATTACCACCAGTCAGTCAGTCAAATCAGAGGAGGATAATAAATAATCTGAAATTGTATTCTATTTCAATTCAGGTACATCATAGCATTCTAACAAGTTACTTATTTTGACTATAAAAACACTCGTCTTATTTCCCATCTGATTGTATTTGATTGATAACACTCATATTATTATTTCTGAATGTACTTTATCTTATACTGATTTTATTCAAATGTCTAGTCATCAATTTTTACTCATGTATATAAACGAAGCAAGAAAGTTGTGTGAGTGAGTACCTACCTTGATATGATTATGAGCTGCAGTAATAAATTGAAGCGCTCAAAACGTGGTCATCAGTGAATATTACTTACTGTATAACACTACACTGTGTGTGAGACTTTATCAAAATAAAATTTTTATCCAGATTAGAATTTGCTAATTAATTTTCGATTTCCGTCATTTAAACAGTTTGAGGTAAAAAAAAAATTTTCACCACCACTCTGTTCATCAAGCGGTTAGCCAAAGGCTCAGGTGGTTTGAGGACTAATTCACAGCTCTCTGAGTTCAGACAAGACACAGTAGACCAGGGATGAATACGGTTCTTAAACGGTGGATACGGTCATTCGGTGATGTTTAAATCATTCATATCAATCTAGTTGGCTAATAAACTCTGATATTGATGACTAATCAGTGTAATCAATATGTAGTTACCATGGGAGTGAGCGATTGATAACACTCTCTTTCTGCATACATAAGTTTAGTTTGTATTAGATGGTTGGAGGCCATCGGTCACAGGAAACCCCACCTGACTTAAGTTTCGTGCTTGTTGGCGCTCACCAGTCAGCAAGGCAGGCGTATCTGCAACCACATTGAAGAAACTCATGTCCCTTCTGAGATTCGAACCCGCGTCAACCAGTGCCGCTTGTAGTCAGTTAGAGACGTTGCCACTACTGAGCTATTCGGACTGGTGACTGACCTCTTGTAGGACTGTAATTGGATACTAGTCAGTAACTAGTGTAATGCGTGTCTAGTCCTCCTATCTTAGGTGCAGACTGAATTCTATCATTCAAGTTTACAGTGTGGCCACCATCCCACTAGGCGACTGGCCATCACGGTGCACTTTGAACTGTTGTGTCCAGTCTAAGTATCCAACACAGTCGTACAGGAGGGGCGATTACGAGTCTGAATAACTCAGTGGTAACGTCTTTCTTTCTTTATTGAAATTTATCAAGGGAACCAAATGTATGAAACGGAAATCACTCACGTCACAGTATATGTGTGGTCTATTTCAAATCAAATGGATGACAATCAAGAAAAGAAGCTTGGATATATGATACTAACTAGTAATAAATTGTGCCTAAATAGTAGGACGATTGGCCAACCATGTATATGACCCGGTCCTCGTTCGTTCTCTGGTCGGCGCACTCTAAACCCCACCCTTCCCCCCATAGTTTGCCAGCTAACAATTCGCAAATTAATTTGCGATTTTTCTCACTTGCACAGTTTGAGGTAAAAAAAATTTCACCACCTCCCTGTTCATCTAGTGGCTAGCTAAAGGCTCAGGTAGTTTAAGGACTGATTCACGGCTCTCTGAGTTCAGACAAGACACGGTAGACCAGTGGTGAATACGCTCTTTAAACGATGAATACGGTCATCCGGTGACGTTTAAATCATTTATTTCAGTCTAGTTGGTCAATGAACAAAACTACTAATTTGTAAAAGATTATATTTGTAAAATCTCAGTGAGATTGAAATGAGTAATTCCAACGTTTCCGGTGTTCGGCAATCTGGTCTGAACTTCTTCAGGAAATTAATCGAAATTCTGTCAAATCTTGACGACAGTTCATTTGAATTATTTTACAACCGAATTAAATGAACAAAGAAACTGTGTAGTTGGCACAATCATCGTGTTTTCGCTCTCCGTTGTCTGTAACAGAATGCATATCCTAAATCCGTAGCTATCGAGTCACCTGACAACTCCAGTAGGTCGAATAAAGCAGCTCAATCTTCAGAAAGAAGACAAAGCAATAAGTCCAACAGGGTGCTTCTACTAAACTCCAATCCTAAACACCATAATTTTGAAAATACGTCTGATCATAAAGTCTAGATACTAACGGTTTGAACAGACATGAAGGCGTGATGTTAGCTGATGCATAGGAAATCCTTATTAATAAATAAAAAATGGATATGTATCACAAATTATTAATACTTGGTCAAAATTCTCGAGTGTCCATGTCTTCTTATGGAGACGTTAAGAAGTGTTTTACAACTGTTTCCCCACACACACATACACACTCTGTCTAAAGTGTTTAACAAAGATAGACCAATATTTGCAAGTCCGAGGTCAAATTATGATCACAGCTCATAAAATTTTGTTTAGTATACTTGTTGATACTTGTTGAATGACTCATGATTGGACAAAGTTTTTAAAAACAAGTGATTTTCCTTTTATATATAAACCTATGTTATGTTAATTTCGATTAATTTCCCCGAAGAAGTTCGGACCAGATTGCCGAACACAGGAAATGTTGGAATTACTCATTTCAATCTCGCTGAGATTTTACAAATATAATTTTTTACAAATGTCTACTTCTCACTCGGTGGCGCCCAATTATTTTGGAACTATTCAGTCAAATCTTGACGACAGTTCATTTGAAAATTACTAATTGGTTGATTTAATTGGTATCGTACTACTCACATCAGGCAACAGTAGTACATAGCATCAAGTCATTATTTCACCGAAATCGACAGCATTTGTTTCATAACAGACAGTTTAGTAAATAAAATACCATTAACCCAATATAATAATTGCTGTCATGAAAGCATTTATTATGTAATCTACTATAGGCTCAGTTGATTCAACAACGCATCTCCACCTCCTTCTATTCTCTGCTGTCCTCCTCAGCTGTCTGGAGCCACCATCGCCCATATTCTTCCATTTCCTCCTCCTCCTCCTCTTCCCCAGCACACCATCTCCTCCATGTCATCCTCTTTGCTGACGACCCAACTGTCGACTCCTATTCACCGTCTACTCGAGCAATGGCCTGCGTTGCGCGCGATGTCATTTGACTGACTGCCTCCTCAGTGGCCGGTGTGTGCCCAATCTATCCATCTTCATTTTCGCCTACATACTTCTTGGTTGAGCGATCCGCTCTTCCTTGGCTGGTTTTTATCATCGTCGGAGTTTATTCTGACTAACTCTTTCCGTCTCGCCATTTGATCTTGAACATGGAGCCAGAGAAGTGGAACATGAACTGAAAACCAGGGAGTAAGGGGCGGTTAATTTCGTCCCAGTCTAAAGTTCTCCAGCAGTATGTGCCCACAACCTCCCCTCAGGGGATCAAACCAAGGGGCTTAAGGTGACGAAGTGAACCCAGTGACCATTCATTCAATCATTGGGAGGGAATTAAATGGCCTGTGAATCCTAACTCCAATCAATTCGCGATGTATAACGTGACTGCTAGTCAATATCATCGGCGAGTAATTTGTCCCCAAGCCCAACTTGATGTCCACTAGTGTTTCATTACAGGATGATTGTTAGTATTATTGTTCCGATAGGTTCTGAGTGGAACATACGTCTCAAACAGCACATTTCCGCTTTATCCTTTCCTCTGTGGTCCTCTTTAGCCTGGTCCCACGTCTACTAATGGCATCTGATCTCCATGGTGAAGTGAAACGATAAGTCATGACCATTAGGTTGAGGGTGAGAACAAATATTCACCGAGGACACTGACTGGCAGTGTCACTAAAATTCATGAATTGACAGAATTTAGAATTGACAGAACATTGATATATCTTATCCCAGTGATTGATTGGCCTACGAGCTCTCCTTGCAATCAGAATGTTCTGAATTCGACCCTCGGCGGTTGTGTATTGCTGAAAGAGTCCCAGACTAGGATTAAACAACTGTCGAGTATACTCCCTGCTGGTTTCTCTGTGGTTCTTCAGCTGATATCGATCCGTGACCAGACTTCAGATCAATTAAACCTCCTACAAACTAACTCTGTAAAAGCTATCACTAGTATTTAATAGCGCCAAACGTTAGTGAAGAAACTTCTTTTTATTTTTTAATCAGTTTACCCCCTATGTCAGTTGCTTAATTCTGATTGGTCAATAGTCCTCCAATGAATTCATTCCCTTAAAGGGTAAGATAAAAGTTTACTTATATTATTAGCCAATCAAAATTGTCTGCGTTAAATATATAAATATATGTATACCAGTGGAAACTTCCTCTCTATACTTGCGGAGATCAACCAGATTTTTGGTTAGAAAGGCGATCACATTATGAACTATATTGTGAATAATTTCGAAAATACACAAACACCAATTGATTGTAATATTCTTAAACAAAATAAAGCAATCAACGACAGTTGCTTAACACCATTAAATTTAACTTGTGATAAAAATGGAATAACAATCAGCAATAATAATAAACCGAAAGCTCGTTTATTAGCTAAATTACTGAAGAGAAAGAAACGCAAAAGTAAAACAACTAGCCAGTTGGCATACCGAAACAATAATAACAGTAATAAATCAGATATATCCAGTGAAAATTCAGCTACTACGATTATTGATGATGGTGATGAGGATGACAATATGAATTTGAACGAGGAATTTCCACAGATTACTGATGAAGAATTACAAGCACTTCGATTGAATATTAATCAACGTGAAAGACGTAGAATGCATGATTTAAATCTGGCGATGGATGGATTAAGGTATGTTATATGATGTGTGGTGAATAACGCCTTAGTTTTCGAATTCTTTTGCACTTTTGTTGTGTGTTTTTTTGTGGCGTAAGGTTGCTAGCCTAATGCCCAATCTCCCGCCTTTTCCCGGGTTACTACCGGTTAGGCGAGGAGGTTTTAGGGAGTGTCGGCAAGGAATCTAACCTAAACTACCTATTTGACTGGCGGGTATTCCTTCCCCATGAACGACAGATGGGATTTTTGATTTGAATTACATTATTACTGAGTTAAAAATTGGACTTTCAAACATTTCATTCTTAAGATTTAATAGTGTGAAATAATATTCCCATATCATGAATTAAAAGTCAATCTGAAAGAAGAATATTCTTTTCAATACATCCTTCTCCTCTTCAGGTTCTTACAATTATAAAATATAATATTTGTTGTCGTTACAATAATGATAGCCAGTTATGCGGCGGATCCATTTTTTAGCGTAGAATAACAGATTAGTACGTATAGAATGTTAAAATAAATAGTCGTATTTGTGTGACAAACATCGTGCTAGGCTGAAATCGATTGCAAAATATTTCGGTGAAATGAGAGACAATGGTGGTGATTAATCAAAGCAGATTCGGGGAATGTGTGGTAGGAAAAATTGGCGAGTCATCTCAAGGTTATGAAAGATGTCAGGTGATAGAGTGGCTAGTACAAAGTGGTATGTATTAAAGAGGAGGAGATAGTAAGACTGCCATGAGAGGTTCATAATGACATAATGAATGTGTGAAATGAAACAGGTGGAGGCATGTATTGAGAAAAGAGACAGTATCACTAATAATAAGTCCGGATAGTATAAATGGAAAATTCGATAGTTTTTTCATCCTAGTTTGGGAATCATCGTCAGTACGCACCCACCCCACTGACAGGGTTCGAACCCAGGACCTTACGGTTACAAGGCAAGCTAGCTCGTATACCATTCAGCCACTGGGACCTGACTCCTGAATGGCCACAGCCCATGAATTCTAACTTCTACCGATTCGTGATGCATTTAGCGCGACTGACACCAACCAATGTCATCGGTGGGACATCCATCCTCACACACTTGACTGTTTGGACCTGATTGGTCACGACTTCTCACTAGAACTGACTTCAGGAAATTCCGTCCTGTAGCAAGTCCGTGATCAACTCGTAAAAACAAAACTAATCCTTACAAACCAACTATAGAAAATTCGATAGTATTGAGAGAATGTTTGCATGAAGGGTATAAATTATGACGAATAATAATAATAATTTTTCTTTCTTTGCTTATTATTACAAGTATTATTACATTCCAATTTGTACTAGCCACTCCATCACCTGACGCCTTTTATAACCTTGAACGGACTTGTCCATTTTGCCTACCCCACCCCACACTCTACAAATCTATTATGACTAATCACCACCATTGTCTCCCATTTCACCGAAATATTTTGTAATCGATTTCAGCCTAGCACGACGTTTGTCACACAAATACGACTATTTATTTTGACACCCTATACGTCCTAATCTGTTATTCTACGTAAAAGATGTATTCGCCGCATAACTGGCCATTATGGTAACGACAACAAATATATTTTATGTCATAATTGTAATAACCTGAAGAGGAGAAGGATGTATTGAACGGAATATTCTTCGTTCAGACCGACTTTTATTTCATTCTTAGTCCGAATCCTACATCACCTGACATCAGTCTGGGTAACTGAAATGTTTGTTAATTTTTAATTCGCGGAAACTACCCTCTTCTACCCCAAACATGGAAATAAGAACAGATAGTTCAGTGAAGAGTCTCCTTTCGGCGGCGAACTCACTCACTTACCTGTAAAATCGCAAATATATACTTATACAATTATTTTTGCATATATATGTGCACAGCACAAGAATTTTTTAAAATGGTTTTGAGTATTGCTTGCATCATCAGAATATTTTACAAAAGTGATGAATAATCAAAATTGCACCTGGGGGAGGGGTGGGTGGGGTTTTTTGGGCTAGAGTTACATGATTTCGAAGCGTTTGCAAAAATGGATGTTAATGAAAGAACACAGAGGCAAGTATCGAAATGTATTCTGTAACAGGTGAAGAGTGTGAACAAAATGTTAATTAAGCAAATGAGGATACTAAATATCATACGAAAAAAATTGCTCAAAGGATTAATTAATTGCAAAATATTGATAATATTCAAGTACTGGTTTTTGTAGGGATTTTTGTTTGATTGCATGGAGGATTTCATCATGAGCTGACGCATCAGTTAGAGAACCATTGGAAAACCAGCACTGGAGTACTGGACAGCTGTTTCGTCAGCCTAGTTTGGGACTCTTCTTCAGTACTCACCCACCCCACCAGGGTTCGAACCCAGGACCTTCTGGTTGCAAGGCGAGCTAGCTCGTAGACCATTGAGCCAATGGGACCCGATCCAATGGTCCATGAATTCTAACTTCTGCCAATTCACGACAGCGCGACCATTTCGCAATGTCTTCTTCGATGAGTTACTGCCTCATCTTCAAGGTGATGTACCCTACTGGCCACGGCTTCCCACTAGAACCCCAGGTTAACTGCCTGGATAGGAGCATTCGGTCGGGTCCCAGTGGCTCAAATGTCTACGAGCTCACCTTGTAACCTGGGTTTGAATCCCGGTGTGTGCGTACGGCTGAAGAGTTTAGGACTTGTCGGCAGTACTCACCCACCACTGGGTTTTGAACCCAGGACCTTCCGGTTACAAGGTGGCAAGCTAGCTCGTAGACCATTCAGCCACTCATTGGGACCCGCCAATCCAATGGCCAGTGAGTGCATGAATTCCAACTTCTGCCAGCCAATTCACGCACGACATAGTGCGACCACTTAGTAATGTCTTCTTCAATGGGTAATAGTCCTCACCTCCGACCTGCTGAATAGCGGCGTACTGATGAAGAGTCACAGACTAGGACGAAACGAAACAGCTGGCTGTCCAGTACTCCCATCTGGTTTTCCAATGGTTCTCTAATTGGTATTTATCCGTAGTATAACCTGAAACTATGTGTATGTTTATAAATATAAAATATTCTTGAATAGTGGTCATGAACAATATTAATGTTTAAAAAATAGTAATATTGATTTCAATATAGCAGAAATATTCATTCAAACATCTATTAAACACAAAATAATTGAGCAAAGAATATCCTTTTCGATAATTTCCTATTCTGCCTCTCCAATTAAATATATATATATATATATATATATATATATATATAGAATATTCTAGATTAGTAGTCAATAACAATATTAGTGTTTTTTTAAATAATATCGATTTGTAAAGTAAAATCACAATGAAATTATAGTTCATTAAAGATGCATAAATTATAATAATAACAAAGATTTAGTAGCAAATAGAATATCAACTAAAATTAGGAAAATTCCACAAAGATTCATGATCACTCAAACCTAAATGGCCAAGGTAAGGACAATGTCTGAACTAACTACTTTTGGATGCACAAATTAGGCTTGTTAATGTGGATCCCCACAGCCTCAGCAATATTTAGTAGTCGAACTCAATGGCGAAGATTCGTAGGTATGCGGTAAATGACCCTGAAAGCATGGTTAACGTCAATCTTGTGTTCTGTATCCACAAGATGAGATATAATAGTGCTACCAATGGATTTTGTTTGTCCTTTACTTAACCATTTTGCAGGGTGATATTCGGAAATTCGACGAGAAACACGCCTAACTGTGCCGCCTATCTAAGTGGCTCCACAGGAGCCAGTTGATTTGTTAAGATCACAGTGGAATTACCACAGTTCAAGACAGATGATGCATAAGTTATAATAAGCATAAAAATGTAATAGTAAATAGAATATCAAATAAAATTAAAGAAATATCTACAAAAACAAATTGAGGATCATTAGAACAAACCAACTTCATTTGGGTACATAAATTAACCTTTGAATTGTTAATATTAGATGGTTGGAGGTAACCGGCTACAGGAAGCCTTCGAAACAGCCTAGGTTTAGTGCTAGTCGGTACTCAACAACAGGCAGTCAAGGCGTGTCTGCAGCCATCTTGAAGGAACTCATGTCCCTTATGAGACTCGAACCCGCGTCATCCAGTGAGTGCTGTAGTCGGTGTCGTTACCACTGAACTATTCGGGCTTGCGATTGACCTCCTGTAGGACTGACTATATAGGATACTTTTATTATTATTATTATTATTTCCTTTAATTCCTAGAGGAACATAGAGCTTCAGCCGTGCGTCTCCATTGTGTTGTGTTCTCTGCTAGAGTCTTCACCTGGCTCCAAGTCTGTCCACTTGCTTTCATCTCCTCTTCACATGACCTCCTCCAGGTCACCCTTGCACTGACGACCAACTCGCCGCTTCCCTTTCGGGTTCCATTCGAGCAATGGCTTGTCTAGTGATGTCACTTGATGGTTTCCTCCGAGTATGGCCTCCAGTCCACCTCCATTTCTTCCTGCTTATTTGTTGCACAATCGGTTCCTGGTTGGTTCGCTCCCAGAGATCCCTTCCTGTTACTGATCTTTTCTGGCTGGCCATCTGATCATGAGTATTGAGCGAAGACAACTGTTAATGAAGGTCTGTAGTTTGTTTGAAGTGCTGTTTATGACGCGCCAAGTCTCTGATTTGCATAGTAAGTAGCACTGACCACATTGGAGTTGAAAATCCGGATCTTATTTTTCTGTGCTCTTGATCTCCATACAGACTTGAGAGTAATGAAAGCTTGTCTTGCTTTCCCGATCCTTGCTTTGATTTCCTCATCAGTTCTATCCGCCTGTAGTTGAAACGATGCTTCCCAGGTGGGTAGGGAAGTAAAGGAGGTTGCTTCTTCCAGATTTCTCCCATTTATGCTGACTGTTGTTGTTACTGTTACTGTTGGCCAGGAATCTTCATCACCTCTGTCTTCACCGTCTCTATGTTTACCTGAAGTCCTATCTTCTCTGGATGCTTCTTCTGCCAACTTCTTGCTTCTCACTTGCATATCTTCCAGTTTGTGGGAAATCAGAAATATTTCATCGACGTAGTCCAGATCCTCCAAGTGTTTTGTGTGGGTCCATTTTATGCCTGTTTCCTCGCTGCCCGCCACCGCTGTCTGTCGCATTATCCAGTCTACCGCTCGCAATCAGGAAAATCATTGGATATAGTAAACAGCCAGCCGGTCAACCTTGTCTTACTCCCGTCTTCAATTCCAAGGATTCCGTGAGTTTCCCGTTGTGAATTACTTGGCATGCAGCATTGTCGTACAACTGTTGGATGAGATGTATAATTGTCGGTCCACCCACACTGTAGTAGCGAAGTAGTTTCCAAATCACCTCTCGATCGACGCTGAGCTGTTGAAGGCCTTTTCAAAGTCGATGAAGTTGAGTGAGGTAGAGAGGTGACTGCCATTCCAAGCTTTGATTGGACCGATAGAATTCAGTCTGCACACCAAATAAAGGACTAGATACATTTCACTAGTTGCCAACTGTTGTCCAATCAAAAGTATCTAATATGGTCAGTCCTATAGAGGAGGTCAATTGCGGGCCCGAATTAACTCAGCAGTGACATCTCCGACTTCAGTACTTGATGACGCGGGTTAGAATCTCAGAAGGGATATAAGTTCCTTAAAGGTAGTTGCAGATACGCCTGCCTTACTGACTCCCAGTGAGTGCCAACTAGCATGAAACCTAGATGCTTCAAGGCCTCCTGTGGCCGATTGCCTCCAACCATCTAATATCAGCAATGGCAAGCCGAGCCACCTAGAGGCATTGTGTGGTCAAACTTCACTGTTAGATTAATTCAGTCTGCACTAAGCACATAGGAGGAGGACTAGACACACGCACGCACAAACGCACACACACACACATTACAGTAGTTACTGACTAGTCTCCAATCAAAGTATAAATTAACCTTCTAAATGTAGATTCCAACAGCCAGCCACCCAGCTTCAGCAATAAGTGCAGTAGACGAATTCTTCTGGGTAAACTTAACATTAGTCAGTATACATACGGTAGATGACTTTGAAAGCCGCCATCAATCTTGTGTTCTGTATCCACAAGATGAGATAGTAGAAAACTTATGAATGAACTTTGTTTCCCCCCCCCCTTGCTTAATCACTATGGAGGATGGTGTTCGGAAATCTGATGATCATTATTGTTATTGTTCCCTTGGGTTCCTAGTGGAACATAGGGCTTCAACTACACGTCTCCATTTGTTTCTACCTTCTGCTCTACTTTTCACCTGCATCCATGTTAGTCCATACTGTTTCAGTTCCTATTCACACGATCTCCTCCATGTCACCCTTGCACTGACGTCCCACTCGCCACTTCCCTTTTGGGTTTCACTCGAGGGCCTGACGGGTGATGTCACCCAGCGGCCTCCTCAGCGAGTGTCCAGTCCATCTCCACTTTCTCCTGCATATTTGTTGAGCGATTGGTTCTTGTTTTGTTTGTCCCCATAGTTTCTTGTTGGTGATTCTTTCCGGCCATCTGATCTTGAGTATAGAACGAAGACAGCTGTTGATAAAGGTCTGCAACAGGCTGTTGGAAATATTCTTTGTGACCCGCCAAGTTTCCGATCCATCCGTATAGAAGAACTGACTGACTTGACTTTTGTATTGAAAATCCGAATCATTTTGTTGTTGATGCAGGCTGAGTGACGAAGATTTCCAGATTGGGTTCAGGTGGATGAATGTGTTTCTCGTCTTTCCGATTCTCAATTTGGAAGGTCCATACGACTCACTGGCTCCCCACAGGAGTAGTCAAACTGATAGGTACTGATAGGTGTATAATTGTCCAGCCGAAATAATAATTATAGTAATAATAATAATTTACTTTATTCCAAAAACAGTACTTGTGATACAGAATGGAATTTTCAGCATTAATCACAATATTGCATCTAATTTCCTCAAATTATAAATAAAATTAATCACACAGAAAATTTTTCTACATTTACAATAGGGTTAATATAAAGAAAAATAGAAAACATGCAGCATATTAATTGGAAATAATAGTAATGATAACAGCTAAGGCAATAATAATAATACAAGTGAAAATTGCCGTGGGCTTGTTTCACACAGTATTGTCGATGCGGTATAGAAATCCTAGCATGGTTAAAAATATTGAATATAATGTTGTCTTTACATGATATGGTGAGGGGGAAAACAAAGATTACAGCAGTCGTACAGATAAGTTGGTGTTTGCAATTATGAGAGTAAAACAAAGAAGCAACAGGACCATAAATATAATAGAAATGATAAAAGTAAAACTTGAAGGTATATAAGGATGGATGGAGGAGATTGTTTATTTACTAGATGAAAAAAGGTTAGTCAATTCTTGCCTGACACTATTTTCATCACATAAAATACGTGCCAAGTATGGTACCATAGAATTTTTATACTTAGACGTGCGAGCATACGGTTTTCTGAAGTTACTTCTCGTTCTACCTGAGGAGATATTCAAGGTGAAAGCTGAGGGTAAAGTGGATGCTCCAAGTTAGACAAAATCCCTTTAGCAAATTTATTGCACGAAGTCAAGTGCCTATCGACAACGACGTTAACTATGTAGTCCACTGGGACACCACTCACCCTACTGACAGTCTTCAGCATTCTACGAATTGTGACATAGTCCTTTTTAAGCAAACCAGGAAAGAATAAAGGTGAACAATAAAGAAGAATAGGTAGGATGCAAGAGTTTATGAACTGTAAGAGGAGGGGTTGAGTTATACCCCAGTGCCTTAACCTCTTAATGTAAAATGTCAGGCGGAATATTTTACTGGAGATCGCTGAGACATGGGAAGACCAGGAGAGATCAGAAGAGAGAATAAGTCCAAGATACTTAATTTCTGATTTAATTCCTATATCATTGTCATCAATCTTACAACTGTCGTGAGAATCGACGGCTTCTTTTAACTGTCGTTTACATCTTAAGCTGAAATTAACAGTTTGACATTTAGAAGGATTCAGTTTAAGACCATTAGACTCAGACCATTTACTGACTCCCGACAGAAAGCTATTTATTTTGGTACAATCTAGCTGGGAGTTAACAGCCATTGAAACTGTTAAATCATCAGCGTACTTCACAAAGTTTATTTCATCATCAGAGTGAGGCAAGTCATGTAAGAAGAAAGAAAGAAAAAAGAAAAAGAGGGGAAAGGACAGCGCCTTGAGGGACACCAGCTTCAGTAGGCAATGAAGTGGAAGACTTCCTTTTATACACACGGTGTACTGCTTTCTTTCTGAGGCATTCATTGAAGAAAATATTGTTTGCTCAAACTTTTCTTCTAGTTGTCTAAATGTTTCTATATGAAAAATATTTTGGCTAGCGGTTGCTCTATGTCGTGAATTGGCAGAAGTTAGAATTCATGGGCCATTGGATCGGGTCCCAGTGGCTTAATCGTATACGACCTCGCCTTGTAACCAGAATGTCCTGGGTTCGAATCCCGTTGGGTATGTACTGATGAAGAGTCCCAAACTAGGACGAAACAGCTATCCAGTACTCCCAGGTTTTCCAATGGTTCTCTAACTGATGTCAGCTCATGATGAAATCCTGAAAAAATATTTTTCTTTTAAAAAAATTCTCATCTTTATGATTCACATTTTTTTAGATCTGTATTACCCTACGCTCAAAATCCATCAGTTAGAAAATTGTCAAAAATTGCAACATTGTTATTAGCTAAAAATTATATCCTTCAATTAACAAAGAGTTTAGCTGAAGTACAAGAAAAGTTGGCTGATTTATTATCATCATCATCTCGTGATCCTCATCATTCCACAGATCAATTGGTGGAGTACAACAAAAATACTTCAATGGATCGGATGATACCAAGATCAATGTCTACATCAACAGGTAGACCATCTTCAGAAATACTGTCGTCTTATTCATCCTATCCTTCTGTTTGTCAATCTACTTGTACACCATCAAATCTAACCATGTTACAAGCAATATCATCTCCTATTCTCCGATCAAATATTCTCCCTTCAAATGATCAGACTGTTTTGTTGAATTTAAACAAGAAGAATTGTATGAATGGTGATAAAAATATGAATATTGATCGTCATCATAATTATATTTCTACATCGAGCTCAGTATTCCCCTTGCTGCAATGTACGAAAAAAAATATAACTCCGCATTTAACAGAAGAATTTAGCGTCACGTCTATTCCCACTACTACTAATACTGCCATTATTATTGATAATAGTCCAGTAGTGTCATCGTCACCCCCACCCCCACCACCACCAACATCGTCATCAACAACAACACCATCGCCTAATTCACTTTTCTCTACAATTAACCTTTCTTCTCCTTGTTTAAATGAAAAGAATTGTTTAAATCAAATATTGAACCCACTAATATTGAACAATGAATTTGGCGGGATTACAAATTTATCGTGTTATTATTACTATTACCAACAACAGCAGCAACAACAACAAAACCAACATAATCCCCATTTTATTACACAACCTGTTACAAATCAAATGTTCAATCATAATTTTATGCCTACACTACAAAGTTATGTAAATATTTTATAGGGTGTATAAATGACGCATAAATTTAAATTATTTTCCTATTTTTTCGCAGTAAAATACAAATAAATAAACAGATTATTTTCAAATCCCTATTTTACGCATTTATGAGAAAAACATCAAACAGACGAACAAGAGATTGAGTGAAAAAATATGCATTCACGGAATATATACACATACTGGAGCATAGGAATTATTTTGAAAAAAAAGACGTTGGCAGTGAAGAAAATTTTCGCTTTTCAACGAAGTCACCATCAACTAGGAGGCTGTACATTCGTGTGTATTTATAGTATACTTTCGCTAAAACTTACGCCATCTCTGGTGTAGGCGTGACATCCGACTATCAACCAAGGGACGTGTGTACTGCTCAGCAGTTCGCTTCGTCCTTCACTATGGCTGGCTCTGAAACATGGCCAATACGAGTTGAAGACATGAAAAGGTTGACTGTTTTTGATCATAGATGTCTGCGATCTCTTTCTCGCGTTAGGTGGTATAATAAGGTAAGTAATGTTGACGTTAGGCGTAGAGTGTTGGACAAAGAGGGGAAATCAATCGACGAAGCTATAAAGTTACATAGATTGAGATGCCTAGGTCACGTGCTGCGCATGCCTAACCATCGTCTCCCCCGACGGGCGGGCATTACTACCTGATATAGGTGCAGGTTGGAAAAGAGTAAGTGGTGGCTAAACAGAAACATGGCATCAATCTATGAAATCCTTGACAATTGAACTGAGTCAGGTAGGGAGATGCAAACTTCCGGGTTGGGGCCTGCCCTCGGGACTCTAAGAATCAATGGCTGGAGACAATAGGTGACATGGCTCAAAATCGTTGTCAACGGCTTACGCAGATATATTCAGTCTCTGTAATCTTTCATATTCCTTTCTACCATTACTCATTCTGTTTCACTCTTATACTTGTCAAAACTCTATTGATTCTCTTCCTCCCTCATTTTCTTGTCTACCTTTGTGTGCTATTTGGAATGTGGCAAGTGGAACTGCTGCACTTCGGTGCCAAGTTCTATGTTGAATCCAGACAGACATTTATAGCATGAATTGGTGGGAAAGTTCCAGAATAATTTCCGGTCAAGGGTCAAATTCATAAAATTACAATTGGGAATTAAAATGCCATAATAAACAGTGGGGGTGGTGGACGGATAAAACTCAAACAAAGTAGCATCAGAATTACTGAGAAGATTGACAATTGATTGTGCAATAGGGGGTTAGAAATGTAGAAATAATAAAATGACAAAAAATACACAGGAAGTTCGGATTTGAAAATATGGTAGTGTAAATAGGAGGGATTAAGAAAAACTTAAAAATAACATGAATAAACAGGAAGTTTGGATAAGAAAGGCAATGGGATAGTCACTATTAAAAGAATTACCTGTTTATGATGGCCATGGCAGGGACAAGGGTTGGACGTATTTCTTTTGGATACATAGCATGATTTTGAGCTTTTGGATAGCTAGTATACCTCGGCTATGCCCAGATGTCTTAATTGATAGGTTTGATCGAATCTTGTATATTGTTTTGAAGGATTTTTCGAATGGCACTGAATGTCCTGAATTGACTAGATGTTCTGCCACGTTTTCGATCTCCTTTTACTAGCCAGGCTGGACAGTGTTCACGAGCGCGTTTTTCAAGTTGGCGCACGGTACGGCCGACGTACTCAGCTCTGCAAGAGCATTCCTTCACTTCAATTAGTTCCTCATCATCGACTGGCTCTACACTGATACGTACCGCGTTTTACATCAAAAGTTTTTACCTATCAAGTGGTTATATCAGTTAATCAGTTTAAGGTATAGGTGGGGTTGAAATTAAGAGGTTAAAGGTCACTGAAACAGCTAACTAATAGTTGTCAGTAAAAAGATATCCAAGTTTCAAAGGGGTGGGCGGGGGTGGGGTGAAAATGAATTACAGAATTCTAGATAAGTTGATTCTAAGGCATTAACAACAAACAATTAGTTCCCTTTATGAATTTAGACAAAACAATAAGAAGGAAGACGTAATTTGTCTGAATCGTGCGTGTAATGTGCATTTGCGCAACACATTTCGAACAATCTGATCACACACGAACTTGTCATAGGAATACGTATGAAATCAATATAATTTATGGACCATTGAGTCGGGTCCCAGTGGGTGAATGGTATACGAGCTGGCTTACCTTGTAACAGGAAGGTCCTGGGTTCGAAACCTGGTGGTGGGTGCGTATTACCGATGATTCCCAAACTAGGACGAAACAGCTGTCTGGCGGTACTCCATTGCTGGTTTTCAATGGTTCTCTAACTGATATCAATCCGTGGTCAAACTCAAAGAAATCAATTGAGTTAAGAGGTGAGAAAATAGACTTAGGTCAAGTACAAAGGAAATATTGAAGGTCAAAATAACAATGAAGACCACTAAACCAAAGACTAAACGCTGCTGCTAAAAAGACATTTTATGCAGCTAATATCATAGTAATGATTGAGAATGTGAATCCAATATATCCATCCATCCATGTAAGCCCTTCGAACATGCGAAAAATAATGTCACTGTATTTACGAATTTGAATGTACGTGTGGACACACATACAGAGAAGGGAGGACTCATTGATCTCTGCAAGTAAGAGAGCATATTCCTAAATGGCTCCAGAACTACCTAGATAACACTGCAGATTTTCCTTCAGTCCAGTGTGATAGTAAACACCTTGTCCAAAAAATCTAGGTACACACATGCCTCTGTCTTTTAGCAAATCTCTTATGGTTATTGGTACGTGTGGATTAAATTTACGCAGACAGTTCAAGGTATCTTGCGCAACAGCTCCTGTTACATTGTTCCTAAGGAACAATTCCATAAGTGACTTTCTGACCACCACTTTGTGTATCATCTTTTCAGGAACAACCTGAAGTTCTATTGAAATTATTTATTACATAATAATTCATGTTACTGTTCTCCTCAATTTGTGAAACAACAGCGATGGTCGCTGTACTAGTGCAATAACAGAAGACATGGGCCAGGCAACAGATCGTTTATTAAGGAAATCAACGCATATTTATATATTTTCATGTACATTATTATAGATTAGTTAAGCAAACAAACACAGTCTTCTGGTTGGTGGTTGTTTCTCACTTAAAGTTAATCTTTCATCTCTTTGTGACTGTTTCTTGAATGTCAGATCATCTATATGTTAACTGTATCCGCCTAAGCAAAGTCTGTTGTGGTCTGTTTTTGAGTCAGTCTTTGTTCATATTTTCTCACGACCAATCTTGAGAACGTAAAAATTGACGTCAATTACTTTCTACCAATTCGGCTAGTAGACAGCTCTCACCACACTAGTACTAGGTATATCCACTGTTCCCTGTATAGTTGAACTTGAAGGCAAAAGTACTATTTTATCGATTGCCACCTCTTCTCTAGATGCGCAGTAACGTTTCCCAGTCACTAAATACTGCATCACATAACCGTTTTTGATGGTGGTAAAAATGTGGAGTAGCTGTATCCAAGGCATTCATGCAGTCTGACAGAAGATATTCTTCTCTTTCAACTTGTTGCAGAATGTTGAATCCCCGTATCTAACACATTATCGGAGTTGTTTTCCTTATAATAGAAATGGACAAATAGTATATACCGAAAGTCTAACTCACCTGCATGATTTATAAATCCTGTAAGAATGGTCTCTGTATGTAAGGAGTACTGCTTATATACTTCTAGGCAAACATCAGTTTTTTAAATATGAAAAGGGATGACAGGTGAACTGTAATCACAGTCCACCAATTAAATTGTAACCACAATTGTTAACATTTTCCTTACAGCAAGTATATGTTTTCATCATATGTGAATCAACACAATCTGCCCCCCCTCACCTTGTTTCATTTGGATTCCCAAGTTTTAAATACATATGAACTCGTAAACAGTGTTCAGCAATGGAAACAATTTACATTTCACTTATGACAGGTATCCTTTTTTATGAATTTAGATACAGCAATAAGAAGGAAGACGTAATTTGTCTGAATCGTGAGTGTAATGTATTTGCGCAACACATTTCGAACAATCTAATCACACCCGGCCTTGTCATAGGAAAGTGTATACATTAAATTAATAAAGAGGTAAGGGGTGAGAAAATAGACTTAGAAGACTCGCCAATCACGCCTCATGTGGCCCAGAGTTCTATTCTTGGCCGACAGAAGCATTCTTAAACCTCGCTTAGCTGTTGGTAAGCCCAGATATGAGGGAAGGTTGAGTGTGAGGCGAGCAACTCCAAGTCGTAAAATACACCACCCTTGCTACTGAAACTTGGAAGTTTAAATGCCTGTGATTTCTCCCACAAGAATCTTCAGTATAGTGGAGCGATGGGCTAATTGACGAAGAGGCAAAATGAAACATCCTTGTGTAGTAATATACTATTATTGTTCCCTTGGGTTCAGAGTGGAACATACGGATTCAGCAACACAACCCCATTTTGTTCTATTTGGCGCTGTCCTCTTCAGCTGACTGGGGACATGGTTACTGCCCATAATCTCTCATCTCCTCCTTCCCCCCCACCACCACCCCAACACACCATCTACTCCATGTCACCCTCGCACTCGTCGATTCCCATTGAGAATCCAATCGAGGGATTACCTAGATTGAGTGCGATGTCATTCGATCGACGGCCCCCTCAGTGGCGTTTATGCCCAATCAATCCATCTCCATCTACTTCTCCTACATATTTGTTGGGCAATCGGCTCTTGCTGTGTTGGTTGGTTTGTTCATCGCTAGAGTTTCTTGTTGCTAATTCTTTCTGGCCAGCCTGTGAGCCAGCTGGTTGGCTGGTCGGCCATTTGATCTTGAGTATGGAGCCAGGCAGCCAGCGAAGTGGGCAGCTGTTGATAAAAGTCTTTAATTTTCTGGAAATAATATAGAAAGCAGGAAACGAAGACAAATGAAGCAGTATACGAAGAACTTGTGCATACGGAAGTTTTAATGTAAGGTCTCTGTATTTTACCATTCTTGTACGCCATCTACCAAACAAATAATTCCACTGTTAAA